ATGGGGAATTCAATTCTCCATCGAACAGCATTGGTTTCATTCCTTAATATTAATTAGGAGGGGAGAAACGATTTTTTAATTAGCGGGCGAGTTATCCATTAGGTTTTTCATAACGCCGCGACTTGCGTCGCAGTTATTTTTTGATTACAGAGATTAAGGGATGAAACGACGGTTGATGCATGGAGAATTTAATTCTCCATCAAACAGCATTAGTTTCATTTCTTTATGTTAATTAGGAGGGGAGAGACGATTTTTTAATTAGCGGGCGAGTTATCCATTAGGTTTTTCATAACGCCGCGACTTGCGTCGCAGTTATTTTTTGATTACAGAGATTAAGGGATGAAACGACGGTTGATGCATGGAGAATTTAATTCTCCATCAAACAGCATTAGTTTCATTTCTTTATGTTAATTAGGAGGGGAGAGACGATTTTTTAATTAGCGGGCGAGTTATCCATTAGGTTTTTCATAACGCCGCGACTTGCGTCGCAGTTATTTTTTGATTACAGAGATTAAGGGATGAAACGACGGTTGATGCATGGAGAATTTAATTCTCCATCAAACAGCATTAGTTTCATTTCTTTATGTTAATTAGGAGGGGAGAGACGATTTTTTAATTAGCGAGCCAGTTATCGTAAAGCGCCGTAAATTTCGTCGCAGTTTTTATTTTTTTATTACAGAGATTAAGGGATGCAACAAAGGTTGATGGATGGGGAATTTAATTCTCCATCGAACAGCATTAGTTTCATTTCTTAATATTAATTAGGGGGGAGAGACGATTTTTTAATTGGAGGGCGAATTATCCATTCAGTTTTTCATAGCTCCGTAAATTGCGTGGCAGTTTTTATTTTTTTATTACAGAGATTAAGGATGAAACGGGGGATGATGGATGGGGAATTTAATTCTCCATCGACCAACATTGGTTTCATTCCTTAATGTTAATTAGGAGGGGAGGGACGATATTTTAATTAGCGGGCGAATTATTGGGGTGGCACTCTGCGCCGAGAAACCATTGGGTTTCTCATAGCACCGTGACTTTCGTCGCAGTTTTAATTTTTTTATTACAAAGATTAAGGGATGAAACGGGGGTTGATAGATGGGGAATCTAATTCTCCATCGAAAAGTCCTTGTCTCATCCCTTAATATTAATTAATTAATATTAACATAAAGTAAACATTGAGGACAAGGAGGACATAAACCCCCCTTCGAACCTACCCCTGTGACAGCGGGACTGCTATAGGGCTTCTAGCAGAAGTTTTCCCTGCCCAGGGTACCCCCACTCTACGTAATTCCCACTAATATGCTTGTCTCGCACTCCAAAAATCCATGGATATTCTTCTTCTGGCCCTACTGCCGAGTTACCGGCACAGGCAGCTCGCCCAGCCGTCAGAATCGACCGTGGCGCCGCACCTCTGTTGGGGTCTCACTTATTCTGGCTGCGACTGCTGTCGACTTGACCGACCCCGTTGGGATCTCGACACTGCCGCCATCTCCCGGCATTCCCCCTACGGGACTTGTATTCACATTATATACACTCACATTAATTTTAATCAATTGATAGAAAACAATGTTATAAACAGTGCGAATATAAACAAATAATTCGTCTATCCACTTTTATTGTGTTTTCAGATATCATTACCTCCTTTTTAGCCCCATAAATGACAATCCTAATAGCCACGCAACAGCCACGCAAATACCGTGGCTCCTGGAGCGCCAGGGCAGGTAATAATCTGTTTTCAAACTCAGGAAATCAGTTTGTTCAAAGATTGTTTCTGTTAGTCTCAATATCTGAATTACTCTATAAGAACTGTTTTCATTCGTCTGAATATCTCTATCAATCTGCTTTCTATTCTCTTTGTCTAATTATCTATATCAATCTGTAGAAACTTGGTTCAATTTCATAAATTTCTGGGAAGTATGTAGGATGGGAATAAAGTTTTATTTAAGAACAATTACAAAATAATTGTCCACTTTAATGAATGAATAATCAAATATAATAAGTAAAATAATCTATTATCATCGACACTGTAATAATTGATGTGTGTGTAATGTCCCTCAGCTGTTGCAGTTCTCATTAACCTATACTGCTGAAAAACAAAAAGAATTATTTTTAATGATTAAGACAATCGAAGAGAAATTTATCAATAATCTGAAGTCAATTTTTACCTTCCATTAAATTGATTTCGTTTCTTATCGTAGTGAAACTGGAACATGCGTTGCACTGGTGCTTAACCTAAATTTTTCCTACAAAGTGAGAATGTGTGTTTTACTTCATTTAAGTTTTCAATTCATAATTAATCTTCGTATTGTTTTTTTCTTGGAAATTAAGGATGTTTCAATAAAAATGAATCAACTTACCTTCAATAGGAGATTCAATGACGTAAAAGTTGGTGAAATCACTTTTTTCCAAGTAAGTTGGCACATGTTGGCGAGGTTGTCAAAAGATTATGAAAATATGAGATACGACACGCGTGATGAGTGCTTAAAAAAGAGGATTGACTAAAGTAGAGGCTCAGATCTCGGGTTTCAAGTGACCCCAAGCCAAAAATAGTACGACCCCAACGGAGGGATGGCGCCACGGTCGAATCTAACGGTTGGGCGAGTTGCCTGTGCCAGTAACTCGGCAGTAGCAATCCCACTGTCACAGGGATAGTTTTGGAGGAAAATTTATGCCCTCCTCGTCCTCAACATGTTCTTAATATTTTTCAGGTGATTCATTTGCTGGCTAATTAATATTAAGGAATGATACACAGACGGTGTGATGAAGAATTAAATTCCCCATCAATCGATCCCCGTTGCATCCCTTAATCTCTGTAATAAAAAAATACAAACTACGACAAAAGTCATGGGCCAGCGAGAAAAATAATTTTCTTCTCGGCGCACAGTGACTTTTCACCATTCGCCCGCGAATTAAAAATTTGTCTCTCCCCTCCTAATTGAAATTAAGGGACGAAAAAAATGCTGTCTAACGGAGAACTAAATTACCCATCAATTAACCCTCTTTCATCCCTTAATTTCTGTAACAAAAAAATATAAACTGCCATGAAAGTCATGGGCTAGTGAGAACAATTATAGTTTTGCGGCGCAGTGACTCCCGGTAATTAAAAATTCACCTCTCCCCTCCTAATTGAGATTAAGGGATGAAAAAAGGGCAGTTCGACGGAGAATTAAATTTCCCATCAAATAACCCTCTTTCATCCCTTAATCTCAGTAACAAAAAAATAAAAACTGCTATGGAAGTCAGGGGCCAGTAAGAAGAAGAATTTTTTCGCGGCGCACACTGACTTTTCACCATTCGCCGGCGAATTAAAAATTCACTTCTCCCTTCCTAATTGAGATTAAGGGACGAAAAAAGAGCAGTTCGACGGAGAATTAAATTCCCTATCAATTAACTCTCTTTCATCCGTTAATCTCTGTAACAAAAAAATATAAACTGCCATGAAAGTCATGGGCCAGTGAGAAAAATTATAGTTTCGCGGCGCAGTGACTCCCGGTAGTTAAAAATTCACCTCTCCCCTCCTAATTGAGATTAAGAGATGAAAAAAGAGCTGTTTGACGGAGACCTGAATTACCCATCAATTAACCCTCTTTCATCCCTTAATCTCTTTAAAAAATGGAAGAAACTGTCATGGAAATCACAGCGCAGTAAGAAAAATAATTGTTTTGCAGCACACAGTGACTCCCGGTAATTAAAAATTTACTTCTCCCCTCCTAATTTAGATTGAGGGATGAAAAAACGACAGTTCGACGGAAAATTAAATTCCCCATCAATTTTCCATCGAACTGCCCTTTTTTCATCCCTTAATCTCAATTAGGAGGGGAGAGGTGAATTTTTAATTACCGGGAGTCACTGTGCGCCCCGAAACTATTATTTTTCTCACTGGCCCATGACTTTCATGGCAGTTTATATTTTTTTGTTACAGAGATTAAGGGCTGAAAGAGGGTTAATTAATGGAGAATTTAATTCTCCGTCGAACTGCCCTTCTTTCATCCCTTAATCTCAATTAGGAGGGGAGAGGTGAATTTTTAATTACCGGGAGTCACTGTGCCCCGCAAAACAATTATTTTTCTTACTGCGCTGTGATTTCCATGACAGTTTCTTCCATTTTTTACAGAGATTAAGGGATGAAAGAGGGTTAATTAATGGGTAATTTAGTTCTCCGTCAAACAGCATTTTTTTCATCCCTTAATTTTAGTTAGGAGGGGACAGACAAATTTTTAATTCACGCGCGAATGGTGAAAAGTCACTGTGCGCCGAGAAGAAAATTATTTGTCACACTGCCCCATGACTTTTGTCGTAGTTTGTATTTTTTTGTTACAGCGATTAAGGGATGCAACGGGGATCGATTGATGGGGAATTTAATTCTCCATCATACCGTCTGTGTTTCATTCCTTAATATTAATTAGCCAGCAAATGAATCACCTGAAAAACATTAAGAACATGTTGAGGACGAGGAGGGCATAAGTTGCCCTCCGAAACTATCCCTGTGACAGGGGGACTGCTAGTGCCGACTTACTGGCACAGGCAGCTCGTCCAGCCGTCAGATTCGACCGTGGCGCCATCCCTCCGTTGGGGTCGTACTGTTTTTGGCTTGGGGTCAATTGAACCCCGAGATCTGAGACTCTACTTTAGTCAATCCTCTTTGGTTAGACATTCAAATAGGATTCGTTAAAATCTGAAACAGATGGCAGCAGAGAGGAGCGCTTGTGGCGACTCCGCCTCCGGTAGTCCCCACTTCGACCTCGAGGCAGCGCCTCGATCAACCTCAAGCCGCGACAGCTGCTCAACGTCGCCCACGGAAACAAGCCATTACTACAAGACCTCTATTCTAACGCTACACGTGTAGCACTCGACATCAAGTCATTCCAAAGTCTATTTGTGTTACTAGTATTAAATTATCATAATAAATATTACTCCTATTGCTAACTGTGGTGATTCAATTACACTGGGGAACCTTCCAATAAGTCTAAATTGGTGACCCCGACGTGATCCCTGTGGATTACGTTTTGCCCGAAGATAACCCCATCCAGTCACGTGTCACCGCAACAGTCGTTATAACCAGTCATGCCGCTCAGCCATTCACCGACTGCAAATACTGGGGAAATGACTGCAACAACTAGCAGAACAACAACAACAACAATTATTATTGCAACAACAACAAGAACAGCAGCAGCAACAACAATTGTTGGCACAGCAACAACAGCAACAGCATCAACAGAATTTGTTGGCATAACAGCAACAGCAGCAACAAAATCAGCAAGTATTGCCTCCATTAGTTCCTCTTGGTATTGACGCACAAGCAACTGGTGTTATCGCTGTTGGTGCATCTGGCATCCAACAAAATGCCATTCCACTGATGATGCCAGTCAACCACGCCCAGTCACTTGGATACAATGAAGCTCAAATCATGGCAGTCACCCAGTTCAAACTACCAGATTTTTGGTCTCATGATCCGGAACTTTGGTTCATCCACATCGAAGCCCTGTTCACCACCAGAAACATCAGAAGTGACCAGACGAAGTATGGAGCTGTTGTTGCTGCCTTGGGCTCGGATGTTCTCAAGGAGATGTCCGACGTTCTCAGGAATCCACCGCCCACAGATACGTATATTAACCTCAAAAATATACTTCTCAAACGTTTCACTGACTCAGTTGATCGCCAGTTACATAAACTGTTGACAGAGATGCAGCTTGGTACACAAAAGCCAAGCCAACTTCTCAGGCAAATGAAAACGCTCGCTGGCAACAGAGCAAGCGAAGAACTCATTCGCAGCAGATGGCTGGCCCTGTTGCCTGATACTGTGTCCAAGATCCTCAAAGCAGTCTCTAAAAACTCCACTCTCGATCAGCTCGCTGAGGCAGCCGACAGCTGTATGGAAAATCACACCAGCTCCCAAGTCCTGTCAACCAGCTTCCAGTCCATGGCTCAACAACCAGCCATTGCTACCCAGTGCTCAGCAACCCATGACCTTCATTCCTCAGCCCATGGGAGCTGAAACGCAGGTCATGGCAGCCAGTCACGTGCCATATCAGAGGCAGAGCAACAGCAACATTGAGCTGAGACTGAGCGCAGTGGAGAAAACATTGGAAGTTCTGGCTGCATCAGTCAGTAGTCTATCAGCCAAGCTTGCAGGGGACCACGACAGAAGATCACGATCTCGATCTCGCACCCCAGGACCACCTGATCAGTGCTTCTACTATCGTAGATTCGGTGCCAAGGCTGTCAGATGCCTCAAGCCTTGCACCTGGGTGCCTAGCAATCAGGGAAACTCATCCGGCGTTGTGAGACCTTTCATTCCCAAAAATCTGCGACAAGTAGCCTTCGACACTGTTCATGGGCTGTCCCATCCCAGTGGCCGAGTAACAGTTCATACACTCAAGCAGAAGTACATCTGGCCTGGCATCAAGAAGGACGCTCTGGAATGGGCTCGCAACTGCATCGCTTGTCAACGCTCAAAAATTCAACGTCACAATCGTCTAACCCCCAAGCACATCGACGTGCCAGACTCTCGCTTCAACCATATTCATCTTGATCTCATCGAGCTCCCAGTGGTCAACCGTCTCAGGTACTGCTTAACCATCATTGACAGATTTTCCAGGTGGCCTGTAGCCATTCCCCTGGACGATATGACAGCTGATACCGTCTGCACTGCCTTCTACACCCACTGGATCGCTCAATTCGGTACACCTCTCACCATAACTACAGATCAAGGCTCTCAATTCGAGTCTGCACTCTTCAAGGCCTTATCTCGACTGATTGGTGCGCATCGCATTAGGACTACACTGTACCATCCTCAGTCAAACGGCTTGGTTGAGAGGTGGCACAGAACACTCAAAGCAGCTCTTATGTGCAACTCACAAGCTCCATGGCCTGAAGTTCTCCCCACAGTACTCCTTGGTCTTCGCACTTGCTACAAGGAAGACCTAAACGCTTCACCTGCTGACCTCGTATTTGGGACAGGTTTACGCGTTCCAGGAGAGTTTTTCGTCTCGGAAGACATACCAGCTGATCCTCAAATCTTCGTGGAGAAATTCCGGGAGCACATCAGAAGCCTACGATCGACACCAACGGCCCACCACAACAAAGAGCGCGTCATCATCCTAAAAAACCTGTACTCTTGTTCACATGTGTTTCTTCGCATCGACGCAGTCAAACGACCCCTGGAACCACCGTACTCTGGACCTCATGAAGTCTTAGAACGCCTGGACGACTACACCTTCAAAATCAAGGTCGACGGAGACGAGAAGGTCGTCTCAGTGGAGAGACTCAAGTCAGCATACATTGCCAAAGAGGATCCTGTCAATCCTCAACAACCTCAGCAGGCTGAGGTACCTGAAAACACTGGACCCCACCTACCGTCCTCAAGCATGGACCCACCTCTTCGTACCTATGCCAAAAGGAGAGACCAGACTGTTACGTTCCCTTCGAATCTCACGAAGGTCACTGGGGGGGGGGAGTGGATGTGGCGACTCCGCCTCTGGTAGTCCCCACTTCGACCTCGAGGCAGCGCCTCGATCAACCTCAAGCCGCGACAGCTGCTCAACGTCGCCCACGGAAACAAGCCATTACTACAAGACCTCTATTCTAACGCTACACGTGTAGCACTCGACATCAAGTCATTCCAAAGTCTATTTGTGTTACTAGTATTACATTATCATAATAAATATTACTCCTATTGCTAACTGTGGTGATTCAATTACACTGGGGAACCTTCCAAGTCTAAACGTTGCCGATTTCTTGAATGCATTAAAAAAATATAATTAGATGGATTTTATCCTTGTCGGTTCTATTGAGAGTAACGCGACATTTCCGAGGATTTTCATAACAATAGGAAGAAAAAAAAATTCTCAAAATGTCCGAGAATTCTAATTTGTTTAATGAACGTATTTGTCTCCGAATCAGAAAAAATGAGGAAATGAGATGGAAAATAGAAGTTTGAAGAATTCAATTCAATTGTCATTTGTACTTTTTAAATATGTAGAGAAAGATTTTAATTGCATGAGAAATACGAAAAGCTGATATTTACCCGAGTTTACCCTTGACTTTTTCAATAATGACAGCTAAATCATTAATTTATTAGGATTTTTTTGTTTTAATGAAGATCTTAATTCTCCTCTCACTGAAAAGAAAATCAAAGGAAATTTGAGGAGATTGAGGAGTCCAGGAGAGAAACAATCGAATCGAATATTTTCTTAATTTTTATTACAAAGATACAAAAGATGACTATAAACTAAAATCTCAGTTTCTTTTCATTGAGGGACGACGATGAGAAGATAATCATCTTCATTTTTTTCTTAGCATATGGTAATGCACTGCACACAATCAACTCCACCAGCTTCCTAGCATAATCACTTCCTATCCTATCGAGTCCACCATCTTTTGATCATAACTATTTCATATTTTCATCTCTCTTTGTACTTGTTTTTTTTATCAAGATAATACAGGCACTTGTATTTATCCTACACATAAAAAAATATAATAAAGCTCAGGTCAACACAGTCAGATACTTATGAGTATAAATTTGGCTTTTGCCAATAGCCTTCCTAACGGGCATCAAGTACAATACACAAAAACATATGTTCGACATAATTTTGTTAATCAGTATAGGCACTTATCTTAAAATTATCTCCAAAGAAAAACAATCATTAAAGTTTTCTTCGTAAAAAAAATAATATGGACTTGAAAATTAGATTTGACTTCAGTCATTAGTTTCTTTTTTCAAACAGGCGACAGTGCAAAAAAAAACCTCATTCTCAACCATCATTTCTTGTCTTCAACGGAGAAACTCATAGCTTCTACCCCACTTGTTGGTTCACTGTCAGACTAAATAAATCTCATTTTTTTAAACAAAGCTTAAATAATAAAGCCTTCTGACTAATACTTCATTGGCAGAGTGAAACTGTAAAGCCTTTGGCGCCTTAATAATATGGATTTGAAAATTAGATTTGACCTCGGCCATTAGTTTCTTTTATCAAACAGGCGACAGTGCAAAAAAAAAATCTCATTCTCAAACATCATTTCTTATCGTCAACGGAGAAACTCCTAGCTTCTACCCAACTTGTTGGTTCACTGTCAGACTAAATAAATCTCATTTTTTTAAACAAAGCTTGAATAATAAAGCCTTCTGGCTAATACTTCATTAGCGGAGTGAAGCTGTAAAGCCTTTGGCGCCTTTTCCTGCTAGAAGTTTTGGTTCAATCACAGTAAAAATAGACAGTGTTAACGATCGCAAGTACTAAGAAAAACAAATGGACTCAAAAACAAAAATGATTTCCGCAATAGGATGAAAAACGTGGGGAGAGGTATTTGCTATGATTTTACCTCATTCCTATTGCAAATAAAAAATAAAAAAAATCCTACTTGGGATCGGGTCTTTCTGTTCTGTTTCATCAGTCACGAATATAAAGTTATGAATTAATTCTACATCTCTCTTATTCTAAACTAAGGAAAAATGGGACGGAAGAAAAACAAAACATAAATGAAACTAAAAGAAAAGAATAATGAAAAACAAAAAAAAAATGTGCGCATCATTGATGCAGGTACCCTAAGAGAAATGTAGAATTAGTCATGGAGAGAATTTAATCAGACTCCTGTGAGAAATCATCAGAGTGTTGAATGACAATTATCTCATCACCTGTGCCCTTTCGAGATGATGAAGGACTTGTGTCCAGCAGTCGACCACTGTTCTGCTTGACCTCCTTAGGGTTAGGTCTTCTCTTTTTGCGGGGATGAGATGGATCTGCTCCTCTTGGTGATGGGTTAACACCGTTGACTCTTTCCAGTGACTCTTCATCATCAGATCTATGTTCAGGTTCTAGATATGCTGGAAATTCTTCATCATCGTCGTAAACAGCTAGAGGCCGAACACCATTCCTACCAGGTAGCTCTGGGAGTACCTGATCAACTGGAGGCTGACCTGAGTTCCCCCCAGCAGCGAGTGAACGTTCCTCTGGGACCATTTCACTTGGGACACCAACTGGATGAGGGAGATCAACTGGTTGCCTTGCTATAGGTGTAAAAATATCCCCAATAGGTGCTGGACCACCTCCAGCAGTGAAGGGACGTCCATTAGGAATCATCTGACCTCTGACATCAACTGGATGAGGGGGAGTGGGGTTGACAGCATTGAGGGCAGCTACTTCAGGGGCCACCTGTCCTCGAATAACCACTGGATCAGGAAGGAGCTGCCTTTGAACAGCCAGTGCATAATCTGGAACTCTCTGAGCACGTTGCTCTGGCATCTGTGCCAACATACCAGCACCAGGAACTGGGTCACCAGCAGCAGCAAATGGAAGTCCCTCCAGGGCCCTATGACCTTGAACATCAGCAGTCTGTGGGATGATCTGGGGTTGTCTTTCAATTCTTGCAATTTCTGCAGGGAATGCAGGTACCTCTGGTACAATTCATCCCTGTACGACTGGCTGAGGGGGGGAGCTTGCATGACACCATTATTCCTACCATTGATACCCACTGCCTGTGGATTGATTTGTTGTCTTGGCATCTCCGCTGCAGGGAGAACAGCTGCATTACCGCCAACGGGAACCACGTGTGGTGCATGACAGATCTGACCTTGGACTGCAGGGTCTGCTGTCCCAACAACTCCAGCAGGGATTCTGTAACTCTCCCTCAATCTCACTGGATCGAGTACATGATCATCCACTACTTGAATATTTGCCATATCTGGGATCTGTAGGAGCATCGTCTGGTAAGAATTACGTCGTAGAGTACCCTGAACTTTAATTAGGCGCTCCAGGTTCATTAATCCCCGAGCGGAATTCTAAACGCTAAAAGGCTCGCGTGAAGCGAGAATAGCTACGTGTAAACGTGGATGAGTATCTGAGGGGGAGTCGAGAGTCAGGGGGAATTCCCCCTCGAGAAACACGGCGTACACGCCAGCGAGAATGGGCTGGAAATCCATAAAAACCAAAAATGGAATATCCGGAAATCGACAGAGCGAATTTTCGGAAACCCTGAGATAAATTACTCAGGGAAGCC